AAAAGAAAAGTGATATTTAAAGTTATTTGCCGTCTTATAGAATACATCCATTAGGCTGGCACACAGAGAGGTGGGACATACCATTTTACGACTCCTGCATGAGCTGCAGTCAAAAATATGAACCTGAAACCTTAAGACGCTTCTTTTGCGAAGAGCCCGCACTTTGGGGGAGTAGCTTATAGTCTCTAGGGCCGGCACTTTGAAGGACGTGAGCGAGATCGCATGTTCGAAGATATAACGACTGCTCAGATTTGCGAACTCCAGACCAGGGAGTATGTTGGTGGCCTAAGTGAGCTGATTACCGGTGACTACTTTAAACAACCTACTATAACACCTAAGGTGGGCTAAGAATTCCGAATAAATAATATTTACCACCTGATTCCAATACAAAATGATAAGGTAAGTGATATTTTGCAATTAAAGTTTAAGAAAACTGAGAAAACTTAAAATAAAAAAATTTAAAATAATACTTAATTTAAAAAATATTTTTTAAGGAGCGCTGCCACCGATTTTAAATTTCAATTAAGTCAATGAAATATTTCATAAAATGGGGATATTTAATTAAGAAATAAAAATATCAAAATAAATGCAATATTTTTTTTTTTGAAGATAGCTGAGTTGCCACCAGTTTGAACATGTAAATGAAATAAAATCGATTAAGTGAAGTAAAGATGATAATATGGATATACATTTGAAAGATTTATGAAAGCTAGTAGGAACATTTAATTTTCAGTAGTGTTGCCACCAGTTTGAATTTTTCATTAATTAAATAAAATAAGTGAAATAACAACATATGATCAGCTGGCGCAAGAGATTTAAGTGATTTTATACTATAAAAAGCGCTCAAAAATAGCACAAATAGTACAAATAAATTTTCCGTCAAAGCTTTTCATGACCTAATTTCTAATTAATTTTTTTGTTATATCTTCTACTGTCCACTGGGCTCTGGTTAAGAGTGATATTTATGCAGTCATTATACATTTTAATATGCCGAACTACTTATTAAGAATAATTAATTGAACACGATTTCGAAAGTAGGCAAACGGAGTCGGCCTATTTAATATGGGTTTTGCGGCACAGGGCGTGTAAATACACACCTCCGCACCGAAAGCGGACGGCATAATGTAACAGTTGCCATTAGGAAGCAAAACAAATAATAGTGGGCATGGAAACGTAGTGAATAAATTGAAAATCTTAAAATTTTGCTCCAGTTTAAAGCGTTTAATAATGGTGTAAAAACGGCATTGGAGTAAGAAATAAAAACAAAAAAATAAAAATTAAAAAAAAATATTTAAAAAAATCACAAAAATAACAAAATAAATAGAAATTGACTTTAAAAAGGAAACAAAGAAGGAAAAGGAAAAAAATGAGTTTCATTAAAATTAATTTGTAAAGAAAAAACCGAAAATTACAAAAATTAAATAAATGCAAAATTAGAGAAAAAAATTAAAAAAATTTAAAAAAAAATGTTGAGCAAAAGCAACAATTAATTTCTTGCTTACTAATCTTTTCGTCTCAATATTGCCTTTCATATATATATATATATTTTTTTTTTTTTGTAGTTTGTTGTATGTTTTGCTTGCTTTTATTTTTATTTCAATCACTTGCTCTACAGTTACAGTCGCTCACGTTTGGGGTAATTTTAATTGTCAGTTGAAGATGAATGAAATCCGCTTTAACGCGCAAGATTAGTTTAAGCCCTATAATTTGTTGAAAATTTATTATAAACTCATTAATAATTTGGCCAAAATTTGACTTCAGAAACTACGACTATGTAATCGTGTGCGAGCCGGCACTGTTTTTTCGGTGCTTCACAGCCTTGAAATGAAAATGTTGCAAAACTACAAACGGAAATGCCATTGCACTCCAATTCCAACGAGGTAGAGGCCAAAAAGCCAATTGAGGAGACAGATGTGGACAACGTGCAACAACTGGTGGTGTCGTGAAGGGAACTTGCAGTTGCGAGAGAAAGGAAGGTGGCGCTGGTGGCATTAAGCGAAACATCATTTACATTACATAATAATAACAAGTTCGCGAGTTGAGTGATGAATGAGAAGCATAAGAGTAAACAAAAAAAAAAAAAACACAAACAACGAAACAAAACTATGCATGGAAGTTGGCAGTGTAGCCAAGGCAGCAGCAGCGACCGTGGCGTCAGCAGCAACAGATGTGTGACGCGTACTGCTGGCGTTGTTGCTGCTTAACTAAAATCGAAATGTTGCTTAAATGAAGCGAAGTAGAGATTCAAAGAATCGCAAACGAAAAGTGACCAAAGTTGAATGTAATCACACATTCACCAACTCACCAGCAGTGTCGTGCCATAAACCGGCTATCTGCCATACATAATTAATGCAAAAGTATGCACGCGCAGAAACGTGGCGCAATGACGTAACAGTACTTATAAACCGATCATGGGTCGCATGGTATGGGTATAGGCGTTAATGAACTTGAAGAATGCAGAGTTCAGTTGAGTCTTATGCAGCAAATAATTGGATTGGTTTTGGCTTTGGCTTCGGCTTCACTGGCGCGCATAGGCAAAAGCGAAAGCTACTTATGTGCATGTGTCAAGGGAGATAAGAGAACGACGAGAGCAGCGAATGTCAACGGGAATAAATCAAGCCTTTCACTAGTGAACTATCGGGAAAAGGGCGTACGCATCAATGTCGTTGAAGCTTGAAGTGCAAGTATTTAAACGAATGAGTTGGAAATTGGTTACGTTTTGTGGTAAGAATGCACAGTTTTTTTCAAATTATGAAACTTTTCAAAAAACTGTTTTATTTGAAAAAATTATTTGAATTAAAGAAGGATGGCAACCCTACCTAAAAGTCCAATCAAGTTGAAGCTTTTATGAAAACTTTGTGTTTGATAGCCATATTGTAATATATCTACATTTTAATTTGGTAAAAGGTGGCAACGCCAGCTTTAAGCTTGTATGCAAAAAAAATAATAATCTTTTATAAATATTTATAAGAAATTTATTTATATTATTTCTTTTTAGTTTTGAATGAATTTATTTTGGAAAAAATAAAGTAAAATGGCAACCCTGTTAAATGTATACCCAGTTAAATGTCTTACGATGACTTTGTTATACATAATGTAAATTTTTCGTATTTTTATTTTGTAAAAGGTGGCAACGCTAACCAAGAGAATTAATGGATAAAATATAAAAATCTTCTTTTAAGTATTATATTTATTTAATTTTTTTTTAATTCTATACCCTTATTGAAAACTTATTATTTATATAATTATTTTTTTACGATTGATTATATTTAAAAAAAATGGCAATCCTGCTTAGAATTCCAACTTAATCCCTATGCGAAAAGTTTTTGTTTCACACCATATTATAATACCGTTAAAGCTTTCAATTTCATGCAAAAGTAATGGATTTGTTTTACGACACCAAATACGAGTATATTTTAATTTTAATTTTGGCAAATATTTGGCAACCGTATCCAAAAGTTTGCCTTAATTAAAGCTTTTTTAAGTTATAAATATTTTTTTTTTTAATCCAATTTGTGATTAGGGTTGTTTTATTTATGATTAAGATTGTTTTATTTCAAAAAGATGGCAACTCTGTTTTAAATTTATACTCAGTAAATTCTTATTCCAAAAATTTTGACTTAATGCCCATATCTGATTATTATTATTATTTTTTTTAATTTTGAAAAATGTGGCAGCCATATTCACAAGTGTGATTAAAATAAAGTGCTTTAATAAAAAACCACAATATTTTTTTTTAAGTTTTTAAAAAGGTGCAACCAATTTATGATAAAAGTTATATAATTTCAAAAAAGATGGCAGCTCTATTTTTAATTTGTACTTAGTTAATCTTTATTCGAAAACTTTTTGTTTGAAACACATATCGTAATATGCATAAATTTTAATTTTAAAAAACTTGGCAACACTTTCCATAAGTTTTCCCCAATTAAAGTTCTTTCATAACATATATCAACATTTTTTTTAATTTTCGAAAGGGATTGGATTAGCACCAATTTATTAAAAAAAAAATATTTCAACAAGATGGCAACTCTATATTAAATTAAACTTATTTAATTCTTATTCAAAAACTTTTCATTTGATGCCCCTGTCTTATTATTCTCGAATTTTAATGTTGCAAAATGTGGCAGCCCTATTCAAAATTGTGATTAAAGTTAAGCTCATTTATTATAGATATCAATAATTATTTGCTGTATATTATTAAGAAAAATGTTGCCAGATTTTGTTAAAAAAACTCAATGAGTTTTTAAAAGGTGACAACCCTATTTAAAAGTTATAACCAGAATCAGAATTCTATTTTTTAGTGTAGCTTTTAATAAGCTTCCGATTCGATATTAATAATTCTTATGTTTGTTTGTTTTTGAAACACAAAAACCCTGTTTAATATTACATTATATTGCACAAAATTCTATTTTTCAAATTTAGAAAAAATTATATTTGTTTTCTTTTATTAAAGAACAGAGCAACATTACTAAACTGTGTTAAATATTTCACATAAACACTAAATTTTACTACCAGTTTTTAGCATTTTGGGTTAATAATTTTTAAAAGTGGCCACCCTATATTGTCATTCAAAAACTTTTGGACAATGTGGCAACCATAACTAAATTAAACGCCAAGTTAAGTTTGTCGTAAAAACTTTAGGTTCGACACCCACATTCAAATATGTTAACTGGTGGCAACTCTACCCAATGGAGTGAGTAAATGAAATATTTTATATAAACAATACAAACTGATGATGCCATTTATATCTGTTTAAATTTATTTATCTGTTTAAATTTAGTAAAACGTTGCAATGAGTTGTAAAAATGTGGTAACCCTGCCCAAAATTAAAAGTAAAACATCTTTCACAAAAACTTTTGACTAGGTTTTTGTACTGCAGAATTTTGAGATTTTAGTTTTGAACTTTTAATTTTGATAAACCTGGCAACTCTTTAAATAGAAGAATCCAAAATAAAGTTTAATATTTTTATAATTTATTTTATTACTTATCAAAACACGCAAAGGTCTTAAAAACATTTAAAAACTATTTAGTAAATATAGCCACCATTGGAGCCATATTGTGTATCCAGGCCCGAGGAGCCGCTGACACTACCACCAAAGCCAGCACCAGCACCCGCACCAACATACTCTGCCACAGCATCATGCGATGCGACGTGCGATACGGCAGGTTGTGGCGCGCGGATGGTAGGACCTTGCGCTGCAGCCAAGCTCACATGAGCCACAGAGTTGCCATAACTATCGGACAAACTGTTGTCGGCTACATCTTGTACACCAGCATCTTGAGCGCCCAAATCGTAACTACCACTGAATGCACCATCAGCAACATCCACCACACCACTACCACCGTCAGCACCTACAACGCCAGCGTTACCACCGCCCACACCAGCATCCACTTGTTGTTGTGCCTCAGGTACAAATTGATATTGTTGTTGATCACCCGCATCGTATGAACCATAAGCGACAGCTGGGCCGTCATCAGCTGGTGCAACAGGCTCGGATACTGCGGGCTCTTCTGCGGCTGGCGCTGCTGCTGCGACCGCTTGCTGACCATAATCGAAACTGTGTTGTTGACTAGTGTAGGTCACAGTACCGCTGGGTCCGGCGCTGGCACCAGCGCTTGAGCCGCTTATACTACCAAAGTGTGTGGCGGCAGCGCCTCCATGCTGTGCGTGATGATCGTGTTGCACAGGGGGAAGATATTCACGGCTCAGATGGCTCACATCGGCAGCTGTGCTGGCAACGAGTGCAAAGAGTGCGAGGAAGAGTTTCTGCAAGGAAAATGCGTAAGAAAGGAAAATATGAAATTAATTACGGTTATTGTGATTTTCGTAGAAACTCTCTGATTTTAGATTGGATTAATGGAACCAGAAAAAAGAAATACTTTTAAGCTTAACTTGGAAAAAAAGATACGCATCAAATGAAAAATTATGGGTCCGTCTTGGTTACAACGGCCTGCTGAACCAAAACTATTGCTAATGATTCGGACTTAGTTAAGCAGGGCCTAAAAATGAGACCCAGATTTTCGATTGTTTAAGCGGACATGAGTTGATAGAAATTTTGACTGATCGTCATGATGTGGTCCCCAGTAACAGAGTCTTTACTGGGGAGTCGAAGTCTCTCTTCTCTTGAGAATATACTACGCGCCGTCTATGTGGCTAATTTTCCTTGCCATGTAGGCTTGCCATGATGTGGATGTCCCGGTACCTGGTAGGGATAAAATAATTAGGCATGGAACGACATAAATAGTTTGTTCCTTATGCGAACTGGGGAGCCACTCGAATAACAAAAAAAAAAAAAAATCATATGGTAAATATTTATAATAGAGTAGCTTAGGATCTCTAACTGCCATTCATGATAAAGGGTTGGCTTACTCGAACCAAAATTGGATAGGACTTTAGAGATGATGAAATGAAGTCAGAACATTATTTTCCAGATGGCCCAGCGGTAGGGTAATTTTAGTCGAGCTTAGCGTTTATAATGAGACTGATGGAGAGAGCACCTGGGGTTGCTTAAATACATTTTTCGGGAAGATGTAGCCCACAGTGTTAAAAAAAGAATCCCATTTGTTCATTCCTTTTCGTTCCTTGGAACTGGGCATTCCACAAAGAATTTTGGATAAAGACTTGGGTCTTAAGGCTTATAAAGTTCAGTTAACACAAGAGCTCAAGCCGGCCGGTCGTCAGGCACGTCCTGTCTTTGATTGTAATTAATGTATGAAAATTATGCGAAATTGCATCGAAAAATCATCTTGACGTATGAGGTCTATTTCCACTTCGATGGCTACGTCAATAAGAACAACTGTCGCATGTGGGACTCGGAATACTCAAGATTTATTGTCGAAAAGCCTCTCCATGCCCAACGTGTAACTGTTGGTGCAATTTATGGTTCGGCGGGTCTTACTTTTCCAAAAATTAATGGAATGCGCTAACGAGAAATGATTTTTTATAGCCCGAAATGAATGGTAGTGATCTGAACAATTTTTACTTTCAACAAGCCGGCGCACGTGTCACTGCTACAAAAGCAACGAAACCATAGATCTTTTAAAAGAAAAGTTTCTGGACACTGTTATCTCTCGAAGATATGATCACAGTTCTGCTACGAGACCTTGTGACTTTATACCTTGCGACTTCATCCTATGGCGCCACGTGACAGACACGAGGCCAACGACGATTAAAAACCTCAAAGATGGTAATCGTCAAGGTGTATTGAGGACATACCTCCCTAACTTGGCGATTTGGTGATGAAAAATAGAATGAAAGGGATACGGCTCTGTAAGCATAGCCGTGGCAATCATTCGGCTGTTATTGTTTTCCTTTATTAAAGGCATAACTTTCTCTTAACTTTTAAAAAATACACCCGATTCTTTATATCAAAAAATTTAAATATTCTTTGAAGATCAAAATAACACCCCTAATTGGAAAATCCTACAAGGAAATATCAGAAATTTGACTTGCCATGAAAGGTATAAAGATTTCTGCACGTTCTCAAGAGACCGAAGATACCTTTTCTTTCTAGTTCTTAATTCTAATTGCAGACTTAGTATGGAGGATAAGCAATTCAGAAAGCCCTTTTTCACTACTCCGTCTTTGAATTCAGGAGGAAACATCTTCGACTGCACCGAAGGGTTTTTATTTCAAATAAAAGGTAACAAAAATACTCATTATAAATTTATTTGTCCAGCGGTATCGTTATCGTTAGATAAATTTGAGTGAATAAAATATGCTGTTTTTTTAAATTTCGAAAATTGTATTTAAATGTAACGCTACAAAACACACACAGGCCCAATTAAGATAACAAATTTGCTGTTAATTAATTATGAATATATTAATTATTAATTTAAATAAATATAAATTAACTACTCATTCACACAAACCATTTTGATTTATTTGTTTTTTAAAATATATATATTTTATGTATTTTTTCGAAAAATAACAGTCTAATGAAATTCGAGTTCGACAACTAAACGCACTGAATTGTTTGAGAAAACTGTCACTGCGAGTCAACAAAAACTCAATCTTTTATACTTCCTAGAAAAACCGCTAAATGTATAATCATACCAAAAATACTGTGGAAATATACATTTTTGTTTGTATGTATCTATGTATATGTGTATGTACATATATATTCATAACAAAACATAACTACTTTTTGTTTTGTAAATACATAAATTAAAAACACTAAAATTTGCTTAAGAATTCAACGAAAGGCCGAATCTGCTTTGAGTTTGTTTGATTTTAAATTTAGAATGTCCATATAAAAACCGAAATGGGAAATAAATTAAAAAAAAGAATTGGCAAATTAATCGAAATAGTAGAACCAATAAAGCACACTAAGGTACAGGGCCATACAGTTGGTGGTCTCGAAAAGAAACGTAAATAAAATGCATTTAAAATAATTTTTTTCCTCAAATTTCATTGTATAATATTAAATTTGAACCTTGGCATTATGCAATACGAGTACATACATACATATGTGTGGTAAGCACTATATCATTAAAGACCAACTCGATTATATTTGAAAATATCGATACGTTGGACGTAATTTTCGACCACTTCATGACACATATTGGCCGGCATCTCAGCCATAACTGGACAAAAGTTGGTTTCCAAGTGCTCAAGAGTGAAAAGTCAAAAGTCCAACTGTGACAAATCGCAAGATCTCGTTGGTTAATTGACAACGCCATGACGAGAGATAACGCGGATGTGGAAATTTCTCTCCCAGGAAAGCCATATTCTCTCCTGTTGTGTGGCATGTGTCACCCTCTTGTTGAATCCATTTATTGTCCAGGGCTTGGCAAACATAGTCGGTTATCAGACGACCACAACGCTTCGATTTGACATTTACAGTAAAGTTAGGTCTAATCACACCTCCACCAGACAGTAAGTTTTTTGTTTGTGGTGTAACGACTCTCTTCAATTTTTTGAGGATTTTCGGAACTCTAAATGTGACAATGTTGCTTATTGACGGATCCCCTGAGTGAGAATTGTGCATCCTGAAGAGCATATTGTTCGAAAAATCACTGTCCACTGTTTGTTGTTCCCACCCCCAATCGGCAGCGCTTATTATGGTCAGCTGATCTCAGTTGTTTTCTGAGCTGAGCTTTATATGGATGCAGGTGTAAGTCCAAGCCATATTGTGCCGGAAGGAAGTCCCACCTCTTTAGAACGTCGAGAAATAGACAAATTCTGGTCTTCGCAAGTGAAAATGTAGACTTACAGTAGCGATACTTGAGGTGGAACGAGCAAAATGACAATGCATAGGCCTAATAACAACTGCAACCGATCCAGTCTCACCGAATTTCTTTAAAATTTTACCATTTATTTGAGTAGTTGGACGATTATGAACATCATAAGCTCCTCACCATCTCACTAGTGGGTTCTAACAGCTTTAAACCACGAAATGGATAATCCTATATATATGGACATATATTGTATTTGTTTTATGCTAATTATATGTTGGAGTGACGTTTTCGCTGGGTGACAGCATCATTATTAGCTGAACTTCAATATGAAATGAGAGAATAATAATTAAAACTAAAAACTATTTATTGACACTCAAATAAATAAGCTCGCGCCAGCTGTGGCGCTTCTGAGCTGCGCCAAGTTAGGTGCGCAGCAGTCTCTGAACTCCTAGCTCTGCTCCTGTGCCGGTGAGCCGGTTTTTTTCGCAGCTCGCCTCTGGCACTTCCACTATTAACTGTTAATTGTTTGATTCTACAAAAATATTAGTGATTTTATTTTTTGCTAATTTTTAATAAGGAAAAAAATACATATAATTTAATTATAATCTATATGAATGTATATACACATTATGGTGTGGCGTGTTGAAGTTGTCCAAAAAAGTAGAAAAGACAAAAAATTAAGAGTTGAGATGAAACTTTTTGTATTTTAAAATTAACTATTTTTGTAAAGAAATTATTGCAAATCAAAAAAAGCTGAAAGGTCAAAATATTAACCCATCATGTAGCGTGTTTAGTAGGAAAACTTTATTATATATCGAAGAAAGGTGAGTCAAAAACGAATATAGGATTATCTATTTCAAGGTTTCAAAAGTACAAGGCCGTCAAACTTAACTGTGAAACCAAGCATATTTTGTTCTAGTTAAGAGTTAGAAATTTATGAAAAAGGTGATTGTTATGTGGTCACGTTTCGTGCTTTCAGAGGAGAGTCGGTTCGCTTAATCGTTCAACTACTTAAGCAGTCGGTAAGATATTAAAGAATTTGAAGAGACTGAAGCGATTACAGATATTGTAAGGCCTGTGCATCATCGTCTTGTTCCTTCCACCTCGAATATGTTTACTATAAGTGAGTTTGCTGCCAAAGACCCTATTTCTCATTACACCAAAAAAAAAATTTTTTAATTCACATTCTTTTATTGATTTTCGCAACCGCTAAATGGATAGCTCTGTGTTTGAAAAAGAAGGCGTATGGAAAAATGTTTTTTTTTTCTGCGCTCAATATTTTACTTGAAACTTGCATTTCTTGTTCGAAGTAAAAGTGGCTACATAAAAAATCACCCACCCTAATGTTCTTAAGAATGAGTATATTTAGTCCACTCGAAAAATTACTTAATTTTTTCTATGAATGAATCCGTTGCTTGTTGATGAGATACATTTGCAGTCATTGACAGCACTAAATTAAATAAAAAATGTGGGTACATACAAATATACATATGTATATAGAGATATAAATTTATGTGCACATAAGTAATGAAATAGTTGTTTTTGAATTGCAGAAATACTAACTGGTTTCATTAAACTTTGTTTATTACTGTTATTCTATCGGTTTAATTGTACGAGTGTGTTGTACTGTAGTGTTGAATATTCGCAGGTAGTGTAGGATGTACAGGTGGCCATAAAAGTACATGCATACAAAAAATGTCTATTCGTAGATAAATGAATTTTATTTAAATTAGTGAAAAAGAACATTAATTTAATTTCGAAACTCAGTTTTGATTTATTTTATAACGAAGCGAACATACAGACATACATAAACATCGAGTGCTTCATTAGCGCTTAATATATAAATTCATTTAAATATTATACTATGAATAAAAAAAATAATCAATTTGAGTAGTTCCTTATTGCGGCGTGTTGAGCTAATAAAAGTAAATCTGAAAGTCTTCTCAAACATGGCGCTCTAAACTTTGCGGACGATAGAAAGCTTAAAAACATTTTATTTTTATTTTATTTTTTAATTTCTTTATAAATAAATTGATTTTTAATAAAAATTAATAAAAACAAAATAAATGAAAATAAATGGTCAACTATACTGTAGATTGGCATTGTAGCGCCTTCTTTTCTTTCTAGCCATGCTTCCACTCTACGAAGGCGGTGGTATTTCTACCAAAGGTAGACGGATGTAGTCATATACACCTCAAGGAAAGTTGGATGTGGAGGATTCACCAGGCATGAGGAAAATGTGTTTCTCCATTTCTTTTTTAGTTGTGCTCTTTTATAGTATTTCCTGTCGATGATCAAAATCTTCCAACATCAGAATCTCTTTTCTGAACAATTGTAAGCCTTAGATTTTCTTTCTAGATTTGTACAAAAAGTCGCCCATCTTTATACGTAATTTTAAAACTTTGCGTAAAACTAAATTAGCATATTTGTATTAAAATTGGCAATTAAATTATGCCATCAATTATAATTTGGATCCCATTATTTGACATAGTAAGTCCCCCATTAGCCATGAGCACGATATGCAAATTTCTCAATTTATGGCTCGAAATGTAAAATAATTATGTTTTTCATGCCACTTTTAGTGCCAAATATTCTGTTGAATATTCAGAAGATAATAAAACTAAAAATCATTAAATTACTAAGCTAATTTATACCCCTAAAAAAAATTGGGGCAACAAAAGTCGCGTAAAAGTATCTAGAATTATCGTTACATTTATGAACAGTACCCAAGATTTTAATATTTGAATAAAAGTTTGTTGCTTATAGCTTTTTATGTAATTTAGAAATATTTTGTTTTATTTTATTTTTTATTTCAAATTATTTTGAATTCCTTTAATTGATTTCATTCTACTTTATTTAATTTAATTTTATATTAAATTATTTCGAATCGATTTAATTTTATTTCGTTTTATTTAATATTTATTTTTAATTTTTTTCTTCAAATTCAGTCTTTTTTATTTTGCTTCGTTTAATTGTATCTTAAAACTCTTCCTTGGTGTGGGTATCCGTTGCGCTATTGCACTTATCCACCTTATCCTTTAACGGAGTGATGGTCTTTCTCATTTTCTATTTCCACTGATGGGTCCTGCATAGAATACATTTAGAGCTGTAGAGTTTTTAATCCATTCGTCTATAGGCAAATGACCCCAACTAAATTCAGCGTTTGGAAGCGTTTAAAGTATATGAAACCTTCACAATTTCGCTCTGAAACGATTATTTTTCTTATATTTTCTCCAGCATAAAAATGGCGTGAATCAAAAACAAAAGTGCCCCTTTTGGTACCGAACGGCTGTGAGATGTCTTTCCCAATTCCGATGAAGCTAGTCTTCATGCTGTGGAAGGCGGCTTTGAAATTCACCCAGTGGTGTTGTGCGTTGTTCCTTTTCATGCGGATCTTCTCCAATATTTGACTTATCGTGTATATCTGGTCGGCGGTAGATTTCTCATGTCTGAAGATTTAATTATTTTGTTAACTGTCAACAATACGCTCGTGCTCGCCATCTTCGGGTGTTTCACTTTCAGTGGAGTTAAGCTTCAGTATCCAGATTACTCTTCTCGTTCCCAAAGGAAGAAGCTTAGGTCTTGAAACCCTTTGACAGACGTCTCATTTATTTTTAGCGTTTTCGAACATTTCTTTTGTTGTCCATTTGCTCATGTTCTTTATACTCACGTTTTTCAGACTCTCTCTTGTTTTCTCTTCAAATGCGCGTCGCTTCACTTCTCAACTCTTGGTATCTTTCCCACAGTCCAAGAGAGTGACCTATGTCGTTGTTAGCACCCCGGCGGCC